ATGACACCCAGGTCTCAGTGCATCTCACCCCGTTCGTAAACTGCCACTGCTCAGATATTAAACAGGAAGAGACAATTCGGCACGTGGCACCTCTTCTATCCCTCCCCACTCCTGTCCTTTCCCTTTTGCCTGTACCCCACTTTCCACCCAAATGCCCCTCTTAAACCTGCCTGCCTTACATTTCCAGGCAGGTGCATTCCAGACCCTGACCCTGACCATTCCCTGGGTGGGAAAAGAATATTTTCCTTCCCTCACAAGCCCCTGGTTTCATTTGCGCATCTCCTGAAATTTACAGGACCGCAGGCCCAACATTTATCGCCCCATCCCTAGTTGCCCCCCTCCCCTTGAGAAGGTGGGGGTGAGCTGCCTTCTTGAACCGCTGCAGTCCATGTGCTGTAGGGTAAGACCCACAGTGTCCCTTAGGGAGGGAATTCCAGGGATTCGGACCCGGCCACACTGAAGGGACGGCCGATATATATTTCCAAATCGGGATGGGGAGTGGCTCGGAGGTTGGAGGGAGATTGCAGGGGGTGGGGGGGGTGCTGGTGTTCCCATGTACCTGCTGCCCCTTGTCCTTCTGGATGGAAGTGGCCGTGGGGGTTTGGAAGGTGCTGTCTAAGGAGCCTCGGTGAGTTTCTGCAGGGCATCTTGTAGATGGTACACACTGCTGCGACTGAGCATTGGTGGTGGGTGGGGGGAGGGGGATGAGGTTTGATGTAGGAATCTCGGAAATGGCCCAGCGTGGCGGAAGATGCAGGGGTGGACCGTGTCAAAGCTGCAAATCCGGATACTCTGTGTCCCCCCAACTCCACGGCAGCCTCTCCACTCCGAGCGAATCCCCATGCCCCTTCCCCTGGGCGAGCTAAACGTCGTGGGAGGTGGAATCGAAGGAACCAGACCCGGGGCTGGAGCTACAGGAGAAAGAAACACCCAGCGTGCTCAGGCTCAGAGGGTGAGCGATGTGGTGACTGGAACATGTTTGGGATTTTTGAAGAAGTAACGAAGAGGATTGATGAGGGCGGAGCGGTGGATGTGATCTGTGTGGACTTCAGTAAGTCGCTCGACATGGTTCCTCAGGAATAGCAGCAGTGTGATAGAGACTTCGACAAGAAAGGTACATTTCGGGGGACACAGAGACAGGGACAGGGACACAGTGAGTTGGACAGTGAAATTCACAGAGAGAAAGAGACAGAGAGAGAGATAGAGAGAGAGTGACAGAGAGCTTGGGCTGAGATACAGAGTAGCAGAGAGAGAGAGAGACTGAGACACAGGGAAAGAGAAAGAGTGTAAGAGAGCTTGGGCTGAGATACAGAGACAGAGAGAGAGAGAGAGACATACAGAGACACACAGAGAGAAAGAGGGAGACAGAGAGATAGAGAGAGAGCTTGGGCTGAGATACAGAGACATAGTAGCAGAGAGAGAGAGACTGAGACAGAGGGAAAGAAAGAGAGTGTAAGAGAGCTTGGGCTGAGATACAGAGACAGAAAGAGAGAGAGAGAGACATACAGAGCGACACAGAGACGCAGAGAGAAAGAGGGAGACAGGACCTAGGCTGAGACTCTGAGACAGAGAGAGACACTCACGGAGACAGGGAGATACAGTGAAAGCTCCCTAGAAAGAGAGGTAGAGATGGACAGTGAATCTCACACAGAGATAGAGAGAGACACACAGAAAGCATTTGAAAAGGTTCCTCATGGTAGACTGGTTAGCGAGGTTAGATCCCATGGAATCCAGGGGGAACTAGCCATTTGGATACAAAACTGGCTGGAAGGTAGGAGACAGAGTGGGGGGCGGTGGAGGGTTGTATTTCAGACTGGGGGCCTGTGACCAGCGGCTGTGCTACAAGGATCGGTGCTGGGCCCCACTGCTTTTTGCCATTTATAGAAATGATTTGGATGTGAACGCAGGAGGGACGGGGAGTGAGTTTGCAGCTGGCACTGAAATTGGAGGGTGTAAAGGGACAGGGAAGGAGGTTACCCTCAGAGTACGACAGGACTTCAATCAGATGGGCCGATGGGCCGAGGAGGGGCAGATGGAGTTTAATTTAGATCAATGTGAGGTGCTGCATTTTGGGGAAAGGCACATCGAGGCAGGACTTATACACTTAATGGTCAGGAGAGTGAGAGGGAGAGAGAGAGTGAGGAGGATAGAGACAGTGGGAGGGACGTGAGAGACACTGAGTGAGAAAGAGGGCGAGTCATAGAGACAGCACGGACAAGTTGGGCCGAAGGGTCTGTTTCCACGCTGGAGGAATCTATGACCCTCTATGTCGCTCTCTCTGTTTTTCTCTCTGTCTCTGTCTCTCTCTCTCTCTCACTGTTTCTCTGTTCCTCTCTCTCCTCTGTTTCTCTGTTCCTCT